CCTCCGCACCCGGCCAATCAGCCCATAATTGCGAAGGTCACACACACACACACACACACTGCTACCGCTCTCCATCGCCCCACGGCGGCATTCATTCTTCAAGTCCTACGGATGCGCCCCTCTACTACGGACTTCTCTATTTTACACATACTCCGGGAGAATGAGGAGGGCTCCTCTGCATCTGGGAAGAGCTCCGTTGATGCAATCCTCCCGACGCAGACCACTGCGACGGAGACGGCGAGTTTTGGCGGTATCAGCCATCTTCTCTGGACATGCTGCGAGGCCTCCACCAGTAGCGCCGGCAGCCCCCTTGACCAGAGGTCCAGCTTCAGCACTGAGGGCGAGAACTCACCCCACTCTCGGTGCCGCAGACGACATCAGTATCAGCGTGTGAAGGCCAACGCCCGGGAACGAATGCGTGTGCATACAATCGCGGCGGCTTTCGAGACGCTGCGTCGATCTGTGCCTACTGCGGGCTCATCAACACGTCTCTCCAAACTGGCGGTTCTGCGTATTGCGGCCTCCTACATCGAGACACTGGCAGCCTGCCTGGAGGCAAACCCTCCGGCGGCGACGTCAGAAAGCGATCTCCCTGAGGACCTGTCACTGAAGGGTCCCTCGACACAGTCCCAGACCCTGCCAGACCCTCTTCTCCGCTTCGATGCCTGTATAAGGAAACTGAATAGGATCGTGCGAGCAGAATCCAGGAGTAGAAGGTAGCCCGGTAATGACTCCCCCCCCCTCCGACCTCTGTGACTTGACCTCAGTGTCAGCACTACCCAAGATGCCTGTGATATTCAAACCAAAGTACGGTAATATATATAAAATGATTTTGATTAGAGCTAAAAACGTCTCCTCTTCCTCCCTCCTGATTTATTGGTTGTGTTGGCCGTTCGAATGGATTAATCCGAAATTCCCACCTAAAGGGGCCAAAGGGTACACACACGATAGTTCGACCCCCGTTACCGACGATTTCCACCGTGTGTTCCACAACAAGGTTAAGCCGGCACGATCACCGGCGCATGATTTAGTCTGTGGTGAATGTAGACTTGCGCAGCATCTATCGCGCTATCCCCTCCCTCCCCCACACACGTCTAGTTGCTGGCTCTGGCACAGGGTTTTATATTTGAGCTACCCTACTGTGGTGTGCCATACTGTACTGTATCGCTGATAATGACTCCCCACGACAGGTGATGTTTCTACTTCCGTCTGAATGAGCAGGTTCGAATAAGTCATCGATTATTTAACCTTGGTCTAGACATTAGTCAGATGCGGTTATGTAGCTCCGCCTGAAGTAAACAAAACCCAGCCACCTATAATAGGGGACCAGTGGCAATGGGAGTTTTTACAGGTAGGGCCAGGGAACGCACAGACGACGAGATCAAGTAGTTGCACGCAAAAGAAAGGCTATTGGGAATGCGCAGTTGTACTTTGAGTGGTTGTGCAATAGTTGACTTAACCCTAACCTCTTGTCCCAACTCCAACAGCATTGCGTCCATCAGGTGGGGCTACATAAGCGCATCTCACCAAGAGATTCACAGCGTTCGTTTTGGGGAAGAAGTCAATTGCGGATTATCGGAGGGCGTTTGAAGTCTTGTTAACCTTACTAGCCAGTTAACCATACAGCCAGTAAGGTCTTTTAGGAAATACAGGTGGCTGATGTGCCAGATTTTTAATATGAGGTGGTGCAGTCAAATATGCTTCCTCATTCCTCCCTTAATCTGCTGGAGAAGTACTGGTTGCAAGGTTCTGGGTCTATCTTCAGGCATCTTGTCACTGAAGTGCTCGATGCGGATCCATTTGGCAGATGAGTCCACGACATTGACAGCCCGCAGATGATGCTGGGGTGGGGAGTCTGATAGCAGGACCCAGCAGACTCGACGGTGCAACACCCGCGGCCAGCAGTTGAGTTAGTGAACTCTTCGACGATCGTAAATCGTGATTCCGTGTCGGTAAGGGGGTTACCCAGCACTTACAAGGAGCTCTGTCTCATTCGCGGGTGAGGATGCTTCAGCACCAGGGTTGGGTGCTGAGCTGGCCAACAGGGAGGCCGTCGTCCTTCGCATGCACACCGAGAACCCACTGGCTGATGCCGGTACCGTGCTAAACGACTGCGATTCTGGCAGCAGACAGGGCCAGACGTCCAGACAGGCGTGCGCCCTTCGTGGTGCAGTTGACAATACGCCGTATGTAGCTAGCGGGTAGATGTTATTGCGAACCCTGGCTTCTTGACTCTTGGAGTATGGATCCAGTGCATCAGAGGAGAGAAAGCAGGCATCGCGGTAAGAAGTGGCTATGTCGCCTTACCTGATGGACATAGCACCGTTTGGTTTGGGGCTGGGGATTAGGGTTAAGAGTTAGGGTGGGGGTCAGGGTTAGGGGCTAGGGCAACTATTTCTCAACCACTCAAGGTACAACTACGCATTCCAAATAGCCTTTTCTTTTGCATACAACTACTTGACCACGTCGCCTGTGCGTTCCCCGGCCCTACCTGTAAAACCCCTCTTACCGCCGATCCCGTATTAGAGGTGGATGGAGATTGTTTACCTCAGGTGCGGCTACATAACCACATCTGGCCGGGGTCGAGATTGAATGCAAGTGGAATTAAACCATCCCCTGTCGCGTGGTCAGTACAAAAGACCCACTGCGAAGTCAGATAAGTGCAATGAGTAGTTCCTAGGATCTGATACGCTTGGAGGTAAATTGGCCAAAGCCGGCGGCGGGGGGAGTAGGCTACTCCACGTGCAATATGCCAAACGCACATAGACAGTGAGGAGAAATGTGGCCAATTCACAAATCGCGAAACAACCGACAAGGCCAGGCCACGCCTTCAAATTCACCGGAGTCCAACTCCACGCAACCACCGTTAACCATGCAAGTCGCCAGATACTTTGGCTGTCGTAACCACATCTGACCGGCAAGGCTTTACAACCTTTGTACGAAGCTTGACACTCAGTTGAAATACTACGGCTAGAGGCGGAGTTGGTTTACAATGAAGCAGCAGCAGCAGCAGCAGCAGCAGCAGCAGCAGCAGCAGCAGCAGCAGCAGCAGCAGCAGCAGCAGCAGCAGCAGCAGCAGCAGCAGCAGCAGCAGCAGCAGCAGCAGCAGCAGCAGCAGCAGCCTACGGGGTACGCCTTTCC